AGTAAAATACATTTTACAAAGCTAATTGAATCAAATGAAAGTCAAACACATTCAAACAAAGCCTTTTAAATCAAATAAAAGTCAAACACATTCAAAAAAAGCTTTTTAATTTAAATGAAAGTCAAACACATTCAAACAAAGCTATATAAATCAAATGAAAGTGAAATACAATCTATAAAGCAAATTGAATCAAATGAAATTCAATCACATTTAAACAAAGCTATTTGAATCGAATGAAAGTCAAATACATTCTACAAAGCTAATTGAATCAAATGAAACTCAAACACATTCAAACAAAGCTATTTTAATTAAATGAGAGTCAAACATGTTCAAACAAAGCTTATTAAATCAAATAAAAGTCAAATACATTCTACAAAGCTAATTGAATCAAATGAAAGTCAAAAACATTCAAACAAAGCTATTTGAATCAAATGAAAGTCAAATACATTCTACTAAGCTAATTGGATCAAATGAAAGTCAAACACATTCAAACAAAGCTATTTGAATCAAATGAAAGTCAAATACGTTCTACAAAGCTAATTGAGTCAAATAAAAGTGAAACACATTCAAACAAAGCTATTTGAATTAAATGAGAGTAAAAAACATTCAAACAAAGCTAATTAAATCAAATAAAAGTCAAATACATTCTACAAAGCTAATTGAATCAAATGAAAGTCAAACACATTCAAACAAAGCTAATTGAATCAAATGAAAATCAAATACATTCAACAAACCTAATAGAATCAAATGAAAGTCAAACACATTCAAACAAAGCAAATTGAATCAAATGAAAGTCAAACACATTAAAACAAAGCTATTTTAATCAAATGAATGTCAAATATGTTTAACAAAGCTAATAGTATCAAATGAAAGTCAAACACATTAAAATAAAGCTATTTGAATCAAATGAAAGTCAAACGCATTGAAACAAAGTTAGTTAAATCAAATGAAAGTGAAATGCATTCTACAAAGCTAATTGAATCAAATGAAAGTTAAACGCATTCAAACAAAGCTATTTGAATCAATGAGAGTCAAATACATTCTACAAAGCTAATTGAATCAAATGAAAGTCAAACTCATTCAAACAAAGCTAATTGAATCAAATGAAAGTCAAATACATTCTACAAAGCTAATTGAATCAAATGAAAGTCAAACACATTCAAATAAAGCTATTTGAATCAAATGAAAGTCAAACACATTCAAACAAAGCTATTTTAATTAAATGAATGTCAAATACATTCAACAAAGCTAATTGAATCAAATGAAAGTCAAACACATCCAAATAAAGCTATTTGAATCAAATGAAAGTCAAATACATTCTACAAAGCTAATTGAATCAAATGAAAGTCAAACACATTCAAATAAAGCTATTTAAATCAAATGAAAGTCAAATACATACTACAAAGCTAATTAAATAAAATAAAAGTAAAATAAATTCTACAAAGCTAATTGCATCAAATGAAAGTCAAACACATTCAAACAAAGCCTTTTCAATCAACTGAAAGTCAAACACATTCAAAAAAATCTTTTTAATTTAAATGATAGTCAAACACATTCAAACAAAGCTATATAAATCAAATGAAAGTGAAATGCATTCTACAAAGCAAATTGAATTAAATGAAATTCAAACACATTCAAATAAAGCTATTTGAATCAAATGACAGTCAAATACATATTACAAAGCTAATAGAATCAATTGAAAGTCAAACACATTCAAACAAAGCTATTTGAATCAAATGAAAGTCAAATACATTCTACAAAGCTAATTGAATCAAATGAAAGTCAAACACATTCAAACAAAGCTATTTGAATCAAATGAAAGTCAAACACGTTCTAC